CAAACTCCTTCTATCCCTACTACCCCTCCCAGCCTCTAGTAATCACTATTCTGTGTTCAGATTGAGTTTGTTTGTTTATTTTAGCTTACACATATGAGGTAGAACGTGTGCTATTTGTTTTTCTGTGCCTGGCTTATTTCACTTAACAGGATGACCTCTATTCATTTTGCTGCAGATGACAAGGTTTCATTCCTTTGTATGGCTGAATGATATTCTGTTGTGTATATACACCATATTTTTGTTCATCTCATGATGGACACCTTGTTTAATTCCATATTTTGGCTATTGTGAACAGTGTGTTTATAATTTTTTAAAAAGAAATCTGTACTGTTTTCCATGGTTGCTATACTAATTTACATTCCCACCAACAGTGCATAAGAGTTTCCTCCACATTTTTTGCTTTCTGTGTTTTGGATAATAGCCATTGTGACAGGGGTAAGGTGATACTTCATTGTGTTTTTGGTTTGCATTTCCTTGATGGCTAGTGATCTTGAGCATTTTTTTCATGTATTTGGCCATTTGTGTTTCTTTTGAGAAATGTCTACATAGGTCTTTGCCTTTTTCTTAGCTGGATTATTTGTTTTTTGTTGTTGTTGAGTTTTTTGAGTTTCTTATATGTTCTGGATATTCTGGTTGTCTATTTTATTTGTAGGAGTTCTTTAATCCCTTTTGGTTATATCAGCACCAGTTCAAGTCCACTTCTGATCCAGCTCCCTCTAATGCACCTTAGGCCCCTGCACCCACTTGGGAGACCCAGAGGAAGTTCCTGGCTCCTGGCTTCAGCCTGGCCCAGCTCTGGTTCCTTGCGGCCATTTGCGGAGTGAACTAACAGATGGAAGATCTCTGTGTGTGTGTGTGTGTGTGTGTGTGTGTCTGTGTGTCTGGTTATGCCTCTCGAATAAATAAGTCTTTTTTAAATAAAGAAATTTTTCTTCCCCTTGTAATCTTCGTGATTTATTTTGATGAATAACTTCATTTAAATGTTGTAATTTGTGGGTTTCTTTTTCACTTATTAATAAGCTGCCATACTCTTATAAAGAGAAATAACCTCTCATGTATTTGGTAAATGAGTCTATAGGAGATAGTTCACCTTTCTGAGTTTTTTCCCTTCTAAGGCTAAGGCCTTATATTTCCCACACTCTCACAGCTCTTTGCTCTCTTGGAACAGAGGAGTTGTGTAGTTTTTCTGGCTGTTGGAAGGTTTATGGGCAGGAATGTTTGTCTATTGCCAGTCACCCCATCTTACTCAGGGCAGTTACTATCTTTTTGTAGTTTGTTTATTAGATGTAATTTGAGGATTATTATACCATCTTGGTGAATTTAACCATATGTGTGTATTCTTATTACAACTACTTTTTTCTTCATCTTATTACTAATATCCTTTCTTTTCTCTTTGAGATATTTTAAAATACTATATAATATATTTTGGTGTTTGTTAATTTTGCTTCATATGATAGAGGTTGTTGAGTTTAATTTCATGCGGTTCAGTTTATCAGACTATGTTTGTTCTCACTGTTAGATCATCCTCTCAGGGATGTGGAAATAGGGTGACTTAAGTTTCTCCTGATGGGTGGAGGAAGAGGAATGCTGCTGGTGTTATAGTCTAGGGGCACAGCCATCTTTCTTCCCAACTAGATAACTGCTTCTGGGTTATTCTGTTCTCTGCTCTTGACTGTCTTTACTGTTATCACCTAAGGAAGTGAGAGTAAGGAGAACAGAGCTGTTGTCAGCCAATACTTGTGATTCTTAGCTTTGCAGTTTGACCTTCTCCCTGCCTCTGGCCAATTGTGTCATTTTTCTGCCCTGTAGCAGTGATGGAGTAGATAATATGATTCACCTAGGGCAGTTAAGAAAAATAAAATAGCAAGAATATTCTCTTTTAGCCTTAATCCCCTTTTGAGGATTTGACTCTCTTGCCTTCTAAGCTGCTGCCTTCTCTCTTTTACTCCCTTATCTCCTCCCAAGACCTAGAGATTTTCATTGTTCTTATAATAAAAGCCTAGAACTGGCTGAAGTGCCCTTTTATAGTAGAGTAAATTAGAAATTGTGAATATTTGTAAGAATATTACACAGTAGCAAAAATGAACAGTTTTAATCAGTTAAATCAGTTAAAACAAGCAAGCTCTGTAAAAATGCATACAATATGAGACCATTTCAATTAAGCTCAGAATCAAACAATGCTAAAAAAAAATACCGTTTTGGGGGCTGGTGCTGTGCCATAGTGGGTAAGGTTAACGCCTGCAGTGCCGGCATCCCATATTGGCTCCGGTTTGAGTCCCGGCTTCCCCTCTTCTGATCCAGCTCTCTGCTATGGCTTGGGAAAGCAGTGGAAGATGGCCCAAGTACTTGGGCCCCTGCACTCCATGTGAGAGACCTGGAGGAAGCTCCTGGCTCCTGGCTTTGGATTGGCACAGCTCTGGTTGTTGCAGCCATCTGGGTAGTGAACCAGCAGATGGAAGACCTCCCTTCCCCTCCCCTCCCTTGCCCTCCCCTCCCCTTCCCTCTTTTCTCTCTCTCTGCCTCTGCCTCCGCCTCTGCCTCTGACTCTGCAACTAACTAAGCCTTTCAAATAAATAAATAAATCTTTAAAAAAAAGTATTGTTTGGGGATATTCACAAATGTGATGAAACTATTTGAAAAAGAACAAAAAGAAATTGCTAACACAGTTTAGGGAGCTACTATCTCTTGATATGGAACAGGGTGGGGAAGGGTGTATTGCTTGGACATGCACAGTAGCATAGGGGTTCTTGCAGTTTCAGCTCCCTGCTAATGTGTACCCTAGTAAACAACCGAATTAACCCTGGCGGTCAATGGGGTGACAGATGTCACAGCCAGATTGCCCTCACTCCCACAAATACATCTTAAAAATCATTTACATGACCAAAAATGCTTGAACATACTCCTTATATGTGTCTTAGCTTTTCATTACTAGGATGAAATTCCTGAGGCAACTAATTTAAAGAGAAAGGTTTATTTAGCTCACAGTGTTGGAGATACCAAATCAAGCTTTTATAACATATCCTCCCATGAGAATTACCTTCTGAGGGCATGTCCCCAATCATCTAAGGACCTACCACTAGTCCCATCTCCTAAATAGCATAATTGGATTAAATTTCTATCCTTTTTGCAGTGTTAACTTATGACATTAGGTTTAAAGTTTTGTATGAGTTCATGGGCCAAATTGTATGCAGACTTTAGCATCTATTTATGTATATGTATATCAGATATTTTACAAATGAATAAATCTTTCTGGCATTTAGCATATAAAAATAAGCAAGATTAGGTGATCTACGATATCCATACTGATATATATAGTGTTCATAAAACATTAGCCTTTAAGTTAAGTTTTAAAAAATGAATGCCAAGTCTGAATTTCTAGATTATTCATTGGACTGTATTATCAAATAGTGAATTAATTTTTTTAAGCAGCAGCCCATCTAACACATTTCTTGCAAGTGTCTAAGTATAGAGTGCAATAAAGTTTGCCTTGCTAGCATCCTACATGCAAGCTATGTCTTCTTTCATATGATGCACTAAGTCCATTTTCATTATCATATTTGAAGTTTGTTTACATAGTGATCTCTATTAATATTTAGTTAAGGTTACTCTGAAAGAACCAGAGTTTTGTTTTTATATTCTTACATTGTAATTCGAGATCCTGGAACTGCTTTGCACATTTCTCCTGACAAAACATTAAAATCTTGGGCTTTTAATTACCATAAAGAAGAATTAAATTCCAGTGACCAAAAGAAAAAGTATCTGTGTTTCCTCTCTTTAAGTGACTTTGAGTGTTTTTGGCATATTTTCTTGTTATGGAGGTTAACTTCATTTGGGGAGTCACTTGCTAGTAGTTTGCTGATAGCTATAATATACTTTATTTATTGAATCTGATCAGTCTCATCTGTTTATAATGGTTGCTGACCCTTGCATGGCATGGAGGGGTTGGTGGTTTCAAATTTACAATATATTTAAAGGGATGTTATATCTTTAAAAATACAAATAGAACAGATTATGTATTTCATAGATAAAATTCCAAGATAATCATACTTTCCTCCCTCCCCCTTCAAACCCTCTCCTTTCTTTCTTCCTTTTTTAAGAAATTAATTTTAAAATTAATCTATTTAAATGTAATTTTAATCAAATGCAAAACCTCTGAATCACCTGCATGGAATATAATGTCAAATTACAAAGGGTATTTAACATATAAAGTAGTATTTCCTATACAATAGGTATTCCATAAATTTTAGCTATTAGAAAAAATTATTTATACCTTAAATACTTTATTAAATGTATACTATATATTTTACCACATGTTTATTTTAAATATTTCATATATATAAAATAGCAAATATTTTTAAATTATCAGAATATTTACTTTTTTTAAGATTTATTTATTTAATTGAGTGACAGAGAGGGAGAGACAGAGAGATCTTCCATCTACTGGTCACTCCCCAAATGGCAGCAATGGCCAGGGCTGGGCCAGGCTGAAGCTGGGAGCCAGGAGCTTCATCCAGGTCTCCCACATGGGTGACAGGGACTTAAACCTGAGCCATCACCCGCTACTTTCTAGGGTACGCATTAGCAAGGAGCCGAAATTGTAAGCAGAGCTGGGATTCTCCGCTTAATCAAATAAAATTTATTAAATCTCTTCAGTATAAGGGTTGTTGTTTGGTGCAGTAGTTAAGACAGCACTCGGGACACCTGCATCCCATGTTGAAGTGGCTGGGTTCACGTAGAAAATAGAATCAAAAGATAAGTGTATTTTGGTGTAAAAAATTGAGATTTGTGCATTTTTCATAATATCCATGAAATTTTTGAGAATCCCCTTGTATATACAATTTTGAAATTTTTTGTACCAAAATAAATTTCATTTTAATTGCATTTTCCTATAGACTTTTTGAAGCACCTTCATATTAGTAGAACATACAAAGAAATAAGACCATGTCCCCGTGTTTATTTTTGCTTGCAGAATACTGAATTAACCTTTACCTTGTTCACAGGCTAAAGGGTCAGATTCCTGAAATTAAGCAGACTTTGGAAATTTTAAAATACATGCAGAAGAAAAAAGTAAGTGTCTTTTTGCTTGTAAATGCAAGTGAACAAGGATACTTTGACATAGACTTGTTTTCCTGTTAACAAATATGGCCTTCTCGCAAAGGTCAGATTTAATTCTAATACCTATTATACATGGATTACTTTCTTACATATAGTATTTGCAAAACTTAATGCAATTTGAAATGTTTTAGGTACAAAAACAAAATGTCTTATTTTGAAGTAGCAGTATCTAAAGTTTGTTGTTGTTCTCACTTAGAATAAATTGTGAGTCCAAGATTTACAGAGCTAGAAGTAATTTTAGAAATTATCTATTTCATATATTCATTTCATGAATGAGGAAACATTTAGAGGCTGCCCTTGACCAGTGTCACAAAGATGGTTACTGGCAGAGTTCTTCTAAGTCTTACTAAATAAAAGTGGCCTATAAACATTAAATTTCATAAGCATATTAAAAATGTTGTTTTGGTGCTTATATTATTTATTATTTGCCTGGTAGAATAACTGCATTTGTAGTATATTATTATACTTGATGAATTTGGTAAGAGAGTTCAGAAACTGATTTGTTGGGCATAGTAATAACTAATTCTTATATAATGCATTGTGTGCTAGGCATTGTGTGTGTGTGTGTGTGTGTGGTAAGTGGATTTAATGCTTATTACTGTATTTGTAGGTAAAGGGCCTATTATTATCCTTATTTTACACATGAAGAACCTGAGACACAGATAGATTAAATGATGCACAAAATTTATACAGGTAGTAAGTATCTGAATCCATGCCCAGCCATCTGACTCTAGCATGCATTTCTTTTACCACTATACTTAGTCTGCATGATGGTAATATTTTAAATGTCTTAGGTTTAGCTATGGGATCTTTCTTATATAACCTTAATATCAGTTTTGGGTGGTGTCATTTTTTTGCTTGTTTTTTTGAAGGAGTCCACCAGTTCACTGGAGACCAGGTTCTTATTGGCAGATAATCTGTACTGCAAAGCTTCAGTTCCTCCTACTGATAAAGTGTGTCTGTGGTTGGGGGTAAGTAAATGTTATAGCTATAGTTGACATGTTTGTAAGCCATTGTGTTTTCTCCAGCAAAACAGTATTGCTTGAGATATGTTAGGTGTTCATCTCCCTTTGATTGTGGAAGGGGCAGAATACAAGTAGTCCATATTATGAACTGACTAGAGTTAGGGGTATGATGAAGACTGCAACAAAAAGCAGACTAAAGTCTCTTCCAGTTGACACAAAATTGACTAAACCCTACTTTTTCAGCTAATGTTTTTTGTCTCATAAATATAACCGTAGAAAGAGTAATATGAGTAAAATGGAAGGTACTGCTGAACTTTGGATCAATGTGTCTTCCTCATTAAGAATTTTTTTAAAGATTTATTTATTTGTTTGAAATACAGAGATACAGAAAGAGAAGGGGAAGAGAGAGAGAGAGAGAGAGAGAGAGAGAGAGACACCTTCCACCCACTCGTTCATTCCCCAAATGGCCACAATGGCTGTGGCTGGGCCAGGCCAAAGCCAAGAGCTGGGAGCTTTTTCTGGGTCTCCCACATGGGTACAGGGACCCAAGCACTTGGGTGATCCTCCACTGCTTTCCCAAGCACATTAGCAGGGAGCTGGATCAAAAGTGGAGCATCCAGGAGTCAAACTGACACCCATGGTGGGATGCTGGTGCCACAGGCAGAGACTTAACCTTCTATGTCACAGTGCTGGCCCCCTCCCCCCATTAAGAATTTAATAGTTCTAGAAATATCCCTAAATTTAAGAGGAAAAGATAATTCCAAAATCTTTAGAGTCTGTTTTTAAAAACCATATATTTAAATTTTTGACAGTTCCATAGATCTTGGCTCATCTCAATCTAGCTATCCATGGGTCCTGTTACCCTATAAAAATTCCTATAAAAATGAGATTAGATTATACATATACTATTCACACCTGACTTTTTGCTTAATCTCACAGATATCTTTGGTGAGTGGACACAAAGTTTGCCTCCTTGGTTTTATTGACTTCTTACTATTCTATGGTAGGGCTATGTTATAATATCCATAAGGTAAAGAGTACTCTTAGTTTGTTCTCAAGTTTCTTGTGAACAGTACTATAGTGAATGTCTTTGCACATACAAACTTGTACACAAAGGCATATTTTTGCTTCTTTGAAATGGAATTGGGCCTAAGAGTTTGCACATGCAGCATTTTTTTTAAAGATTTATTTCTTTGAAAGGCACAATTATAGAGCAAAAGAGAATCTTCCATCCGCTAATTTACTCCTAAAATGGCCACAACATTCAGAACTGGGCCAGGCCAAAGTCAGGAGCCAGGAGCATACCTGGGATCTCCACGTGGAAGCAGGGGCCCAAGCACTTCAGCCATCTTCTGCTTTCCCAGGCACATTAACAGGGAGCTGGATCGGAAGTGGAGCAGCCAGGACTCCAGTCAGCACCCATATGGGATGCCAGAGCTGCAGGCAGTGGCTTTACCCACAAGGCCATAGCACCAGCCCCTCAAATGCAACATTTTGATAAATACTATCAAATTGCCTCCCAAAAGACCATACTAATTTACATTTTCTCCATTGTATATAAGTGTATCTGCTTATTGACAACCTCACCCACATTTGTAGGCTTTTGCTACTTTCATAGCTTTTTTGTTTGACAAGATGCTTATTTGTATTTCCTCTTTTTTAAAAAAAGATTTATTTATTTATTCAAAAGAGTTACACAGAGAGAGAAGGAGAGGCAGAGAGAGAGAGAGGTCTTCCATCTACTGGTTCACTCCCCAATTGGCCACGACAGCTGGATCTGTGCTGATCGGAAGCCAGGAGCCAGGAGCTTCTTCCAGGTCTCCCATGCGGTTGCAGGCGTTTAAGGGCTTGGGCCATCTTCTGCTTTCCCAGGCCATAGCAGAGAGCCGGGACTTGAACCAGTGCCCATATGGGATGCTGGCATTGCAGGTAGCGACTTTACCTGCTACACCACAGTGCCAACCCCTTTATTTCCTCTTGTATTTATCTGCTTATTTATGTCTTTGGCCCATTTTTCTGTTGAATTCTTCATTTTTTATAGAGGATTTGGTCTCATATAGAAATTTTGAATTTTAATGTAATCAACCTTAGCAGGCATTTATAATTTTATTTATCTTAATGAATGTTTATAAAGTGTGTAAATGTTTTCTTATTTCTAATATACTTACACTTAAGAAATTTTTTAAAACTTACTTGTGAAGGATAATATGAAAAGGCAAGGAGCTCAATAAAAATTGGGTCAATGACTGCCAAAATGAGTATATTCCAATGTTCAATGAATATGGAAATTGTTCAATTTCATTAGTAAACAGGGAAATACAAATTAAAAGCATCCCTAATCTGAAAATCCTGTATCTTAAATACTGCAAAATCCAGAACTTTCTGAACATAGTATCAGCTTTTTTTTCCAAGTCAGCTCTAGTGTACAGAGGTGCACATTGGTGCATGTGTGTTAATATGTAATACCCCATAAATCCATATTGTTACTTACTTATTCCTTTGTTCTCTCTTTACCAAAAATCTTGGCTTTCAAAAATACAAGGAGTGATAGAATTAGATTAGATAAGATTACTCATTCATTTGCTTTATTCCTTGTCACAGTCAAAGTATTTTAGAATACCACCAGTATTGTTACCACTGACATTTTTGCATATGCTCATCCAGTCCTTTCCCATTCTTCATTGGATTGTGCCCATATCGTTAGAGCAGAGAGATTTTGTACTCTGCTCACTCACTGTCCCTTTTGTGTTCCTTCATTTATTCTTATTCTCTGTAAATATGTATGAAATGTATATTATTGTCTTCTTGTTGATTCCCTCCAATTGTTCTGGTTATGTGATACTTAGTCTGTAGTAGGTTCCTTGAGGATCTATGGAGATAGTAGTCCCTATGTTCTCACATGTTCCTGAAACTTGTCTGTAGCCTTTATACCTGAAAGTCAGTTTTGCTGGATCTGAAATTCTTAACTCACATTTTAGCATCTTATATTTTCTCCATTTTCTTTTTGTCATAGAGCATTGGTATCAAAAAGTCTGAAGACAGACTGATTTTCTTTCTTTTATAAGTGACTTATTGTTTTTGCCTGAATGCTCAAAGGACTTCTGGGTCAGTTTCCTCGGGTATAGGGTGTGCTCCTTTATTTTGTGTGTGTTGTATTTATGCATGTATATCTGTGCATGTATATACATGCTCATGCATGTGTGTGTGTGTGACATTTCAGGAACATTTTGTTGAAATAAATTCTTTAGGATTTTTTCTGGTCCCATGATTTGATTTTCTTTAGGGCTCCAATATATTTGTTTTTGCCTTGACAGTGTTTATCAATTTCTTACTTTAATCCATGATTTCTGTTTCTTTCTTTTTATATTTTTTAAAATTTTCTTAAGGTATTATCTGTTGTGATTATTTATATCTATGTTCTTTCTCATTTAATCATCATTTCTGAAATGTTTTTCTCTTACGTCTAATTCTTTCCTGAATTCTGTCACATTCTTTCTGAGTTTTCTAGTTTTGATTTCTTGTTCTTTCATATCTTGTATCATTTTCTTAATGTTATTGTTTGGATAAATATTCATTTTTTTCATCTATTTTGTGGGCATTTCTTTCTTTTTAGCTTATGTTGCTAGTAAAGATGTTATTCTATTCCTTATTTTCTTTTATTACGGTTTTACATTGGATTTGATTTTGATCCTTTTTTTTTTTTTTGACAGGCAGAGTGGATAGTGAGAGAGAGAGACAGAGAGAAAGGTCTTCCTTTTACCATTGGTTCACCCTCCAGTGGCCGCCGCGGCTGGCGCGCTGCAGCCAGCGCACCACGCTGATCTGAAGCCAGGAGCCAGGTGCTTCTCCTGGTCTCCCATGTGGGTGCAGGGCCTAAGCACTTGGGCCATCCTCCACTGCACTCCCTGGCCACAGCAGAGAGCTGGCTTGGAAGAGGGGCAACCGGGACAGAATCCGGAGCCCCGACCAGGACTAGAACCCGATGTGCCGGTGCCGCAGGCAGAGGATTAACCTATTGAGCCGCGGCGCCAGCCAATTTTGTTCCATTTTTATGATAAATTAATTTTCTTGAATTTTTAGAACACAGGAATAATCCTAGAGCTCCATTTTGGAGCAATAAGATACAGAATAACATCTCCATAGACAACATAAGCTAAACAGAAGACATGGCTACAAAAATAGATGCTCTGGAACCCTGCGAGCCCTCCTCAGTTTTTTTTTTTTTTTAATTAAAAATTTATTTACTTGAGATGTAGAGAGCTAGTGAGTGCACTCCCATCATCTGGTTCACTCTCCAAATGCTTGCAATGGCCAAGGCTGGGACGCAGCTGAAGGCATTAGCCAGGAACATAATTCTGGTCTCCCAAATGGGTATTGGGAAGCTAGAGTCAAGATTGGATGTTGGTATTGAACTCAGACACTCTAATATGGATCATGGGTGTTTTAACTGCTAGGCCAAATATCAACCTTTCACCCCACCCCCATCAGTTTTAACTAACTGCTGTGTTGCATTTGTATATAACTACCTCTTGATTATTTTGGAGTTCTCATGTCTGCTGAATGCCTCATTGCTTCTCTCTGCTTGCTACTATACAGATGGTCATATCATTGCAGGTCTTGTAGCTGACAATGGGCTGTCCTCACATGTTCATGGAGACAGATACCTAGTCAGCTTTTTGTAGATATTGTCTAGTTCTCAGGGTTTGCCACCCTAGTTATTTTTAATCTTTTTAACACCATTGTTAAGATCAGATTCACATATCATAATATTCAGCATTTTATTGTACAGTTTATTTACAGAGCTGTGCAGCCATGATCTCTTATTTAGATCTAGAACATTTTGTTCACCCCAGAAAGAAAACCCATACCCATTAGCAGTCACTCCCCTTCCTTCTTCCTAACTCCCAGCCCCTAACAGCCACTAAGATTTACCTATGCTAGATGTGTTGTTTGAATGGAATCATACCATATATGGTCTTTTGTTGTCTGTTTTCTTGAACGGAAATGAATGTTTCCAGGGCTCATCCATACTGTAGCGTGTATCTATACTTTATTCCTTTATTGCTGCATCATACATATATCATTGCATAGATGTACCACATTTTCTTTATCCATTTATCACTTGATGAATATTTTGTTTCTTTCTACTTTTTGGCTATTGTAATCAGTTCTTTTGGATTGATACCTATATTTTTAATGTTGGTTTTTGCATGGTTCTAGAGCGATTTTCTTGAATTGTTCCTTTTCTCCCTGCAGATTGAATTCCCCTACCTACCTAGATCCATTTCTGGATCTTCTTCTGTTCCTTTGTTCTATTTCTGAGGAGCTATTTTGGTAGAGTTCTTCCTGGCCATGTAACAGCAACTTCAGAGACTCTCAAAACAATACCTAGCTAAAAGGGAGAGAGAGAAGGCCATCTATTGTGACTTTGGTGTTGCAATTGAGGGTAAGAGTAATAGACGGTGGATCTAAGGCTAGCCATGGTAGGGAGTTGGGGTTTCACATAGAAGTGGCAGGAACTTTTTTCCTTTTTGCTGATTTTCTATTCACTTTTGAATGATTATATAATGGTACATTTGTGGGGGGATAAACCATTTTAAAATGAATTTCTTTTTCCCTTGAGGGATCGAGATTTATCATGTTTCTGTTGTTAATACATTTTTTTAGAGTAGGTAATACAGTTACATATGTTCCCATTAAAAAAGTACAAAATGACTGTCTTAGTCCATTTTCTGTTGCTTTAACTTACTGCCTGAGACTGAGTAATATATAAATTAGAAGAGAGGTTTTTTTGACTTGTGGTTCTGGAAACTGGAGAATCTAGGAGCATGGTGCCATCCTCTGGTAAGGGCCTTCCTGCTGTATTGTAACATAGCAGCTATTTTCCTTGCCTGATCAAATATAGATAATAAAAACACCTTTGAGGGGCTGGCATTGTGGCATAGCAGGTAAAGCTGCTGCCTGCAAAACCAACATCCCACATGGGCACCAGTTCGAGTTCTGGCTGCTCTACTTCCAATCCAGCTCCCTGCTAATGCACCTGGGAAAGTAGTGGAAAGTGGCCCAAGTGCTTGGGCCCCTGCACCTGCACGGTGGGACCCTGAAGAGGCTTCTGAATTTGTACTGGCCCAGCTCCAGCTATTATGGCCATTTGAGAGTGAACCACTGCATGGAAGATCTCTCTCTCTCTCTCTCTCTCTCTCTCTAACTCTTTCAAATAAATAAAATAAATGTTTAAAAATCTTTGAAAGAGCTTAAATTAATATTGTATCTAAGGCTCAGAAAAAAAACTGTTTACATGCATTCAAACATAATATTATGTAGTGTCAAGATGGAGGTAATAGCTGTGCAACCTGACCTCTCTGAGTCTGTTTTCATAACTGCAAAGAAAAAAACTTTCAGCTCACCAGGGTTGTTATAAAGGATTAAATGATTTATAATGTATATATTCTGTAACCCAGGAGTTGATAAACTTTGTGTAAAAATCCAAATAGTATTTTTGGTTTTGCAAACCACATAGTCTGTCCCTACAACTCAACTCTTCCACTGAGGTGAATGGAGAATAACTGGGTTCCAATAAAACTTAACTTACAACAAAGAGCAAAGGGCTGGTTTTGGCCTCAAGGCAGTTATTTGCACAATCCTGCTTTAACTGATAAAGCACTATGTAAATGTTGAGTAATTGTCATGATTTTCTCTCTTCAGGCTAATGTAATGCTTGAATATGACATTGATGAAGCTCAGGCTTTGTTGGAAAAGAATTTATTGACAGCCACAAAGAATCTTGATTCTCTTGAAGAAGACCTTGACTTTCTTCGAGATCAATTTACTACCACAGAAGTCAGTATCCTTTCTTAAAAGATGGAAGAAAGATGGAGAATTTTTTTAATGTTCTTACATTGCTTTAATGGGAAGAATGCCCTTATTCTTAGGCTAATGTGAGGTTATGGATTTTAAAAGATAGCATATCATATATTTGGAAGTAAAAGTTCAAAGATAGATTAATGAATTTGAAACAGCAAATTCATATTGGTAGACTTTTCCTTCAGATATTTCCCAAGATACCTTTATAGCTAGTTAAATAGTTTAATTATACAGGCACTTATTATTAAGACTCTTTTATGTTCTTGCTATTCTACTAAGCCATATGGACCATGGAAACCAATAGGAAAGACAGGCAAGATATTCCTCTGTATATGTAAAACAGCCGAACACTAATTTCACAGTAAACTATATAAGTAAGCTCATATATGCAATACCAGGTCAATTTAAATTTTGGGAAATATAAAAATGAGCTGCAGTTAGTTCAAGGAAGGCTTTTGTTGAGATGGTAACTTGGGCTGATTATAAAACCAATGGAGGATTTAGATCAGCAGAGAGAAAGGCAGAGGTATTCTGGTAAAGGGGGAGAACAGGCGTATTGAAACCAAGCTCTTTGCATTTCCTTTGTGATCTGTCTCTTCTTCCTGGTTTCTGTCACAGTTACCCAAGACAAGGACCTGGGAGTCAGCCTTCACACTTTTCTCTCCCTCACTGTATGTCTCCAGCGTGAATTTCCTAAGTCACACATCTTATTTTGTTCCTCTGGTCATGACATTTCCCTGAATCCTTGTTGCACATAAAGTATGTGAAGTGTGCTAGCTAGCCTCACCTCATGGCCCTGATCACTTTCAGCCCCAGTTCTTCCCCAGTGCACCTCTGATCCCAGTAAACCCAGTTACTCTCTTCACCCCCTAAATGGGCCACACTCTTTGTGTTTGCACACTTTGTTTCTCCTATCTGAAATTATTTCCCCGTTTACCTGTGTTATTCTTTTTTTTATCCTTCATATCTTCAGTTCAAGCATCAGAACATTCCTGAACATTTTGTAATCTCCAAGTGTTTTGCTGTTCTGTGCTTTCTTAGCACTTTGCACATAATACTTTTTTTTTTTTTGCCAAACTGTCATCTCTTCAAGTGTAGGAGCTATACTTTCTCTTTCCCAGTGTGAGGGAAGGCAGGCCTGTTTGAGGCCTAGTACAGGAATCATCATCTAACTGGTAATATGAAAATTCATCCAGCTGTGAGGTGACAAGGGACTAGGAGAGGTGGTTCTTGTGTAAAGGAAAACATAACTGTGAGAGAAAAACAGGATCCAGTGACTTAAATGGTTAAACAAATCATCTAAGATGCATCCTACAAGCTTTGAAAAATGCCATTTGTTGTTGCTAGTGCTGGAAAAAGTTCAGGAAGGTTGTAGACATGGGAGGGAGCTAGAACCTCCAGTCTATAATATACTGACTGTTCTACTAGAGTAAGATCTGTGAGGGAAAGGATTTTACCTGTGTTGGAGCTTTGTGCAGTGCCTAAATGGAAGCACAATAGATGCTTAATAAAGCTGAATGAATGTCCTATTTAACCAAAAAGGTAAGTAAGTGATACAGTTATAGATCATTGTACTAATTGAAGTATTACATGGCAGAATATGGCTTGAGCAGTCTTAAATTCGATGTGTAAGGGGCTGTCTTTAAAACTTGTGAGATTGTTAGCACATATTTGTTAAATATAATGTCATGATTGACTAGATAGGCTAAGCAACTGTTTATGTGTGGCCTTGATGTGGTTTTGGTAGAATTTAATTCCAGTATTTTCTTAGCAATTGACATTATAGCAAGATGACTTAGAACATTAGTTGTCACTGGCATTTGTGTATTTCCTTCTGTGTCTTTGATTCATTGTATGAATGAATGCTTGAATTATTGCATATATTATCTTTAGAATGTCACTTGCATTTTCTTTGACAATTCTTGCAGATATGGCCAGGGTTTATAATTGGGATGTAAAAAGAAGAAACAAAGATGATTCTGCCAAGAACAAAGTGTAATGCTGACAGTTAGAAATTTGGTTATTTTCCAAACATGCTATTTTAACTGTCTCGACGTTTACCCCTAAAGATTGACATAATTTTGAATGATTCTTAAAAAGATAAATACCATTTTATTTATAAAAACAAAATTGGTTTCAAATATTTTATGAAATTAGCATTTTTCCCCACATTTCCCAGCAAAGTTGTTGCTACTTTCATCCTTTTATTTTTTGGCTGTCACAAAGAACACTCTTAGCTGAAATGGCCGAAAACTGTGAGGCATGATGGAAGCTGAATGCTGGATACTAGCACAGTGAACTTTTTCTTTATTGGCTATTGTTACTCTCACTGTGGTTAAGCTATGTTACAGATAGGAAAGACAGACAGTTTGAGTATCTGTGAACTTGTTTTTGTTTAGTATATCGGGGATGTAAAGGTCTTCTGTTGCAATTGTCTTCTGTAAGTGGGGTTTTGGGAATTTTTGCTTAACTACTTACTATCATGACATTCTGAACTTTTCAAGAAATGGTAATTTCCCATTGAGAGCTACTGAGGGAACACTTTTTATAACCTCAGAAAAATGTACAGTGTCTTTGTAATGTCAACAGGAAGATCTTGCCAACATGAGATAATACTACCCATTCAAAATTCTTGGCTAAGGTGATTTTGTATTTAACAGTTCTCCAAAACATCTTGAACAGGAATAGTAAGATAAATGTAAATCTGTAATAGTTGAAGAATTCTGAGCTTTTTAAATTCATGATAAAAGAAAACCCTCATAGTAATATTTAAAAATCTCTGTGGAAAGACATAGGCACAGGAGCAAATACTGGATGTTACTGAAGATTCTGGTAAAAAGATAAATGTATTATTCCATCTCCATGTGGTAAAAGCTATACTTATACAATGTTTCACACTTGCATATCATTGTATTAAAACACTGATGTTAAAACTATGGCATAACAATTTTTTTATATTACTCTTTTCTCTTGCTCTGTTGGGGTTGCTATAACAGAATACTGTACACTGGGTGACTTCTGAACAAAAGAAATTATTTCTCACAGATTTAGAAGCTGAGAGTTCAAGATCAAGGTGGTAGCATATTTGGTGTCTGGTGAGGGCTGCTTGAGCTTCATCACCTGAAGGGTTAGGAGTGGAGTGTGCGATTTTTTGGGGCTCTTTGTAAAGTTAGCAGAAATCTCCACATTTTGCACTTGTACATTTAACTAGCATGTTCCAAGAATCTGTATATGTACAAACAACATACAATTTCTTTGGAAGGAATACAGAGAAGCAAATAATTGAAAAGTTAATCTGAAACATATCAAGGTTCTTTTATTCAGTTTTCCTTTCAAATTTGAGGATTGTAAATGTCTTGAGATATTATAAATGCTATTTTTCCCCAAATTTTATAATGCTAAGTTTATTAGTACAAAATGTCCCTGATAGAGGCTGACATTGTGGTGCAGCAGGTTAAGCCACAGCTTAAAATGGGAACAACAATTCAAGTCCTGGCTGTTCTGTTTCCAGTCCAGCTTCCTGCTAATATACCTGGGAAAGTGCCAGAAAGTAGCCCAAGAACTTGAACCCCTGTCACCCACGTGGGAAACTCAGTGAAGTTCAGGCTCCTGGCTTCAGTCTGTCCCTAGCCCCAGCTGTTTGGGGAATGGATGGAAGATCTTTGTCTCTCTCTCTCTCTCTCTGTGTGTGTGTGTCTGTAACCCTGCCTTTCAAAATAAAAAATCTTTTTAAAAATGTTCCTGATAATATTAGAACAGGAATGATTTGCTTCAAAGATCTTTGTTTTTTCTTTAAGTTCATAATGATTTAAGTATGAATTTTTAGGTAATAGAATATGAAGAAACAAAGCTTTTTAGAGATGTGAATTACATGGCCAAAATGTATGGGACGCAGCAAGCATAAAACTAAGAAGATTTATACCAACAAATGTCTACATGAAAAAAAAAAGATTCCAAATAAATAACCTACTGTTATAGCCCTAGGACCTAGAAAAACCAAAGCAAACTAATCTCAAAATTATAAGCAAGAAAGTAACAAAGATCAGACTGATATCAGAAATGACCTCCTAAAATATATACAAAATGTGGCCCCTTAAAGTTCCCCAGAAGTCCCATCTGGAGTGCCACGTTATCGCAATTTGGGATGCCATACGATATCACCATATGTTTATCAATAAGTCCCCAATATTAATAAGCCTGAGAGGGTTCTTGCCTAATATTTAGAGAAGAATTCTAAATACCAGCATAAGTAAACGAGGCAGCATGGTACATTTTAGGCTTTTATTTAGTGAGAAAGATGCATACGAGAGTAAGAGCTTTATCTGAGAGAGAGAAGGGTAAATCTGGGTTTGTACCAGGTACCAGGAACCAGCCATGTGGAGGAACATCTAGGCCAAGAAGTGTAAAATCCTGAGCTGCTTCCAAGGTGAGCGTCTGCAGATTCTTTGTTTTCCTCTGGCACCTCTCCTACACATAAGCTAATTTCTAGTTTCCTACCTAACTGAACTTTGGGGAAGCAAGCACTTTGCACTTTCTTGGAGGGACTCCGCTCCACCGGGACCAACCTGATTGCCTCTGACTCGACATTCCCTCCCCCAGAAGAATGGACCCTAACTTCTGTAAGGGTTATGGGACCATGACCACTCTGGCTGCTTCAGGTTGAAATGGGGGACAGAAGCGGGGCATTCTTCTGGGGTCGATCCTTAAATAGGTCCCTGGTAGAATGTGGATTTCCTCAAGGGCATTGTATGCAGTACCTCCTGGATAGCAGTTACTATCTCTCCCAATTGAGTGTCTTATCTTGTGAGTTCCAGGGATCCAGCTGCAAGTCTTAATGTCAAAGACCTAATTTTAGGGCATTAGATGTTAAAAAATTGTAAGAGGTTTAAACCAGCTGGTCAAAGTAAGTTAGCCCTGACCATTTTAACTAAAACTGTGGGTCAGATCTAATCAGATAAAGCTAACTCCTTTAGGATTGAAATTTTTAAGCAATTAAACTCAATAAAAGCAACAGAAAACATGAAACATCCCTGAGATAAGTAAAACTGTGTTACTTAGGTCAGTTAGAAAACACAGAAAAAACCTAGATTGGAAAGGATTAGCATGTGATATGTGCATGTGCCCATCAATTAGGAGAGTTTAAAGGAACATACAGAATTTTAACCCATAGTTGCTTTAAGCAGTTTTTGAATCCAAGTAGGAAACAGGTAAAGGATTTTTACACAATTATAGTTTAACAAACTGTTGTAGACCCTAGGAGTCTCTGGAAAATGTTTAGAAGACAAGACATTTAAGCATAATACCTACAACATTTTGTTGAAACATATTTTGAGAATCACATTGTGGATGGCAAAATATTTAGACTAGTTATGATTACAGTAACAACTCAGTGGTTTACAGCATCTTAGGAAGTATAGCAGAATTTCACAGACCTTTATATGTTGTAGGGCAGTGGTAAGCAATGAGGGAGCTCTGTAGTTTAACAATGCATATATTGTCGATTAGAGAACAGAACAATCTTACATAGGTAGGCAGAGACACTTCTGTAATTTAGCAAGTGAGAAAATGAACTCTGGGTCAGAGCAGCCAGTCTAGGGAGAAAGAAAAAAACTTTGAGAGGTTGGAATACATGGCCCTGTGGGGAGTCTGGTCAGTAGTAACAACAGCACTTTAAAACCCTGTCATAGTTCTTGTCAGTGTCTTCTTTAAATGATGACTTAGGAGATAAGGAAAATGAGACGCAGCACCCTGTAGTAGAGGGCTAAGACCAGGTGCTGGGCCTTGGATGGTGGAAATGTTACTGTAGGAAGCCGTGGGGTGAGGTTCTTGTCTTCACGCAGAAAGAATTCAGGCGTGAGGCAGCAGAGTGATAAGGCTTTATTAGGGACAGGGCATCCATCAAGAAGGAAAGGACGGAGAGCGCCCAGTCGCTTGGACGTGGGGGTGGGGGGGCAGAGGACTCTGTTTGGACTCCCTAGGTTTAAGGGAGTCTGTTTACCCGCCTCCCCCTCTCCTCCAGGACAAAGGATGGGGAGTCCTTTGGGTGAAAATTAGCAAATTCCTCCCCCAATTTGCTGGTGCAGGGGCAGAGCAGAGGGGCTTCCCTTAGGGGTCTGTGAAGGTTTTCTTGCCCCATGTTATCAGGTAACCCCTTTGGCCCTGAGGAGAGAGAATTCTCCTGGGAGCTTGGGGCGGGGGGGGGGGGGGGGTTGCTGGGACCACCTGGGAGGCCATCAGGGTCTGAGCAGGACTTTGAAGTGCAGAGTTTCCACAGTAGGTGCTGGTCTTAAGGCCTTTCTCATACACACATAGGCTCAATTTCTGACTTCCTACCTAATAAACAGATGCAACATCCCTCCCCCAACACACACTTCCCAACATTTGAGATGAAGGAGAGGGGTTAGTGAACAGACCCTGGGTAGACCAGGTGAACCAAAGTTGGGAGGGCCTAGATAGAGAGTTTGAGAGAAGTTGGCCGAGACCTCTTATATCCTTGACAGGCTGAGCAGTCTGGGCACCTCAAGCTATGGGATTAATGTCTGTCTTTGTCAGAGGGAGGCCTAAAGTCTCCCCTGGTCCTGTAAGAACTGTGGTCTTCCTCTGGGCCAGGCGATGTCTACCTAGTAAAGGTGTTCAGCTCTCTTCTGTGATCAAAAAGAGTGAGTAAATGTGAGATCATTCCAGACAGACAGAGCTCAGAGTTTGGGTGAAATAGCTAATTTGGTGGTGTAGGTGGTGGGAGATTTGGGAGACACATTACAGTCACTATGTAAGGAGGGGGGCAGGCAGAACTAGAGCAAAGAACAGAGAAAGTGGCTCTCCCGTATCCAGAAGGAAATTTAGAGGCTTTCCTTCTGTTACCGGAGAAATGCAGAGTTCTTGTCTTCGCGCAAGAAAGAATTCAGGCGTGAGGCAGAGAGTAGTGGGAGGTAAAATAGCAAGGTTTATTAGGGAAGGGACAGGACCTGGGAGAAAGTGCCCAGTTGCTCGGACTGGGGG